CCAAACCCCAATCCGTTGTTGTCAGGTCAGTTCCAGGTCATGGTGACCCCACGTGTGACAGAGTGGAACTGTCCCTATAGGGGACCCCTTTAAACAGTCTACTGACCCATCATCCACCTCCCATACGATCCAATTCTATCAAGAAGAGCTGTACGATCATTACCACAATCCATTGTGGGTCTGGCTGCACTTTTCGTGGAAGAAGACTGTTGGACTTTTTGCTGAGGCCCCACCGGGTGGATCTGAACCACCAATCTTTGCTTACTAATCAAGTGGCAAACCTTTTGCATTCCCCCTGTTCCTTGGGAGGGACCATAAACAAAACAAACTCACTGAGTTGATTCTGATTCATCATGATCCTATCTGCTGTGTCCAAGGCAGTTAGTCTCTGTGGGAGCTGAGAGCCTGATCCTTGATCTTTGGCCAGGACTATGAACCCCACCAAACTCACTGTCATTGAGTGCACTCTGGCTCAGAGTGGCCTTAGAGGACAGAGTAGAACTGCCCCTGTGGGTTTGCAAGGCTGTAAACCTGTAAAGAGTAGAAAGCCTCATCTTTCTCTTGAGGGGCTGCTGGTAGTTTAAAATTCCTGAACTTGGGGTTGACAGCCCAATGCATAACCACTATACCACCAGGACACCTACAAGGAATCAAATGAATGCCGAGGCACAAAGGTGCACCTTCGGAGAGCTCCATGGGGGCACAGCAGGGTGTGCGACCTCATTGGAGCTCTGGTTCTTTATCTGTACAATAGGTCTCATTCGGCTTCATTTGACAATCATGACTTTTTGGAAACAGTTAGGGTTTCATTCAGCAAACGCACTGTGGCTTGGATGTGAGAAAATTAATAACGCTATTGCATAACTAGAGAACATCTACATAGACCCAGCTTTCAAAGGGTGAAGCCTGACTAAAGCCTAATTATGCCCAATTAGCAAGTAATATTTGATAATTAGAGTGGGTTTTATAGCAAGAGCCAAAGGTTCCGACTGCTGTAATTTTCATTGATTGGCTTCTCTCTAAGAAGCTAAGTGGAAAAAGCATGACCCGTAGGCCCCATGGTTCTTACTCAAGTGATGGGAGCGTAATAGGTCCCTTCCAATTAGCTGAATGCACACACAGTGTTCCACACAGGGCCTTCTGTCATCCCAGCCTGTTTCCTCTGGACAGTGAAACTGCTCCGCTCAGGCATTTAGTCCCTCTGACTATTGCCAATGAATTGATTCCAACAAACAGTGACAAACTGTAGGGTTTCTTTATGGGAGCAGACAGGCTTAGCTTTCTCTCGAAGAGAAATTGGTGGGTTTGTATCACTCATCTTGTTGCTAGCAGTCCAGTGTTTACCAGACAGTGACTCTGAGAGTCCTTAGGCACGTAGTCACGCATATGAAATGGCTATATTTTTAAATGGAGGTCAACTTATTAATGGAGTTTTAGCTCAGGTATATCTCACCGTAGGAGCGGTGGGTCCCCGACCCCACCCTGTCATTATTTCCCTAATTCCAGAATGCATCAGCAGAATAGACATACTTAGTAACTGGCAGAACCCCCATATTGGATCCCCAGAATGTGGAAGAAGGAGTATCATGGTGTGAAAGGCCAAGTGGACACCATGAGAACTGCCATTGGCTAGGAAATTTGTAAACCAAAAGCAACACCGCATGCCTGGAGGATTGCCGAGATCAGTGCCAGCACCAAAGACTTGAAGGAAGCAGGGATGGTGACTCCTACCACATCCCGTTTAACTCACCTATTTGGCCTGTACCAAAAACAGATGGATCTTGGAGAATACAGTGGATTATCATAAATTAAGCAGGTGGTGACTCCAATTGCAGGTTTCGGATCTGGTTTCCAGATGGGGTTTCATTACTTGATCAAATTAATACTTCTCCTGGTACCTGGAATGTAGCTATTGGTCTGTCCAAAGCCTTTTCAATACCAACATGGCTCCTATAGAAACATGTGGGCGGAGTTTCGCCTGTCAATCAGGTCGCAGCTTGATTGGAGGGCGATGAGAAAGGGATAAATGACTCTTCGATAGGGATAAATGACTCTTCGAGGCGAGCCTCTTTCACTTTTCCCCTGGTGATAGGATCAACACACTGCTGTCTGAGTTAGCTGCTCTGCGCTACCTGTGGGCCAAGCCAACCCGTGGATCGTAGTGGATCATGTCACATTGCTTTATATCACTATGCCTTGAGGCTCCAGCATGACCTGCTTCGCTATGTTGCTGTGCTACTGGCCTCTGCGATGCCTTGGCATCTCACCTTCCTGCTGTTGCCATCCCACCTTGCTATGTCTGCTGCCTGTGGGCTGACTCTGCTCGTCTTGCCTGCGGGTAGACTCCTGACTTCCTGCCAGCCATTTCACCGTCTTCTTCTTTGATCTGCTTGCAGCCAGCATGAGTTGGAAGGACCTTTAGTATATTAATTGTCCCATGAAAGTGAGTTGGACTGAGCCCTCTGTACTGCTGTGTGGACTAATTAGCTGTTGTAGTCCTTCTTGCTATATAAACTATATAAATGCTATGTATATATGCTATATAAATGATATATATATATAAAATCATAAGTGTCATGGTTTCATTTCTCTAGAGAACTCTGCCTAACACACCCACCAACTGAGTGCCAGATCTCTGCATGCTGTTGTACACTTACCTTCTACCATTTGGGCAACCTTTTTCTTATCTTCAGTTCTTGCCTGAAAGGTAAATGATAATTACATATTTGCTTGAGACTTAGCAGGAAGCAGTAACTAACACTAATTTCAGGAAACAAAAAGACACATGTATCATTGTTCTGATCTTGGACAGAGATTGAATGATTACTGCCCCATGGGCACAGTGAGCCTTAAACTCGGGCTAGTTTGAGTGGATCCATGAAGATATCTGAGGGCTAAAGTTTT